AAAATGCAAGAATATCAAATAATAAATATTTCATGCAGTTTAAAAATTGTAAAAAAATAATAGAAAAGTCAAAAATAAAATTCTAAACATATTAAAAGAAATCGGAGCAAAAATGAACACTAAACAAGCTTGCACGTGCCACTCCCTATGAGTGAGCTTTGTTTGGCGAATGGGACAGGTCTTTTTCAACTTCCAACAGGGTTGACACGACCCGACTAGAATGGTTCTTCAATTCGTTGGAGTCTGTTTGATGTTTTTAGCCATTTTTTATGCATTTTCTTGGTGCTTTCAACGATTTAAAGTGCCCAAAATTCAATTAATGTGATTTTATATCAAACCCATACAAAAAATCACATTAAAAGAAAAAAAAACAAGATCAATTTATAAAAAAATTCAGATTCTACAAACCCATATACAACCCATTTTTGCTTTCTTTGTATTTGGTCATCTTACATTAATATTTTATGAAATTAAATGCTTTGATTCAAGTTTATAACACATTAGAGACAATCCAAGGATTAATTTCGAATTAAACACAAAATATTGATGTTTTAATTAATACAAGAATTTTTATTAAAACCTAGAACTGAACATATTCAATCTCAATTTCTCTCTCCATACAAAGAATTAAAAAATGATTTTTATTCGGATTTAATCCTTTTTCAAAGAGGAACAAAAGCCTTCAATCAATTTTGAAAATAATTGATCAGAATTTAAGATTCCATTAACTACTTATTTTCACCCCAAATAAGTAATCAATTCATAAATCACTTAACTAACATGATTTTAGGGTTCTATTATCATACCACCATGCTCGATACCACATTCAAGCACTAACCCAAGGATCATTATGCGGTAGTTAGAATAGCATAATTAAATAAAGTAATTTCACATTGCTGTTTAGGTGGCCATGAAGAATTCGTAGAAGTAAATTGATTCTTAAAATGACTAGGTCTTTTTCTTCACTTTTTTCTTACTGGTGGCATTCAATGTGTAGTTATGTATCCAGTAGAAATGAAGAGGGGACCTTATCCTAATTAATTAACTAACCTTAGAAACCTCTTATCAAAGGCTTACTAGGCCAAAGGCCTACATAACCACCAAACCACACTAACTAGTAAGATATGTAAAACTCATATTTAGGTGATCACATTAAATTAATTGGGCTCTCATGCTTGTCTTGTATTATGACTAAAGTCATCAGTCAGTTTAATTAAATTATTAATATCGCTAATTAATAGTAGCCCACTTACAAAAAATTTTAACATTCTCTTATTTGAGCAATATTAATTATGTTGTTTGATTTTAATAAAACTTGATTTGAAAATAAGACTCCAGGCTGATTTAGTTTATTTTGATGTAGCCATAGTTTTAAAAAATAATTTAGCCTTTTGAGACAATATCTTAATGATCTTGTCCAATAAAATCATCTAATATTGAATCATGACTGCTTTTATGCCCTTCATCGACATAAGACCAATCCATGGTTACAAGTGCCAGTGACTCTATCGATAATGGATCTCAGTGTGGCTGTATTGCAAAAAAATAACACCTAAATATGATCTCAATCTGTTATTTTCATTGTAATCTTTTTGTCGATTTCTTTAAACTTGTTGAGAAATCTCCATGGCGTCTAGATGTGCCTGTATGTCTCCGTAATATTATCGAGATTCCTTAATGGTGTCATACATGGGACATACCTAAGTGACAAAAGAGTTATATTTAAAACAGACACCAATTCTTAAGATTTCACAATGCATATAGCAAATTTTAATTTTTCAAGTGTGCATGTACTAACATAATAAATAATAACATAAAATATCAACCAATAATGATCATTATTCAAGAATAGGATTAAATATCACATACATATTTCAAACATAAAAAAAGTCCATAATGATAAACCTTGATGTATGAGTATGAACTACAAATGATATACTCCAACTAATTAACTACACCAAAAGACTCTAAAATACTCATACTCTTAGCATATTTACTAACCACTATAGGTCTTAACCCCCTTAGTCAAAGGATCAGTAATCTTGTTATCAGTCTCAATGTGTTCGATAATAATTTCACCATTTTTCACAAAATCCTTGACTTTAAGATATTTTATCTCTTAGTGTTTAAATCCATTAGTGCTCTTATTATTTTTAAAAAACAACACAATAGATTTATTATCACAATAAATCTTCAATGGTCTAGAGATGGAATCAACAATGTGAAGGCCTGAAATAAAATTTTTAAGCCAAATTGCTTGTGTAACAACTTTATAGCATGCTACAAACTTAGCCTGCATGGTAAAAGAAGCTAAAAGTGTTTGTTTAACACTTTTTCAAAACATAGTTCCTCTAGCCGATAAATTATTAAAATCAACAATTAATAGTAGTCCACTCACGAAAAATTTTAACAGTTTAAAGGAAGGAAGAAGAGGGATAGAGGAGAGAATAGTTGTCATCGATTGCTTTTATAGTGGTCATTGAAATTAGATCATGATTTTGTTGGGTTTGTAATGGTTGTTTAGAGATTTCGACAAAGGAAGATGAAGGAGATGAAAGTTTGGAAGACAATTTTCTCAAAATGGGTTCTATTTAGCTTTGACTCTAAAATCATTTTATGTTGACTTGCTAATTTTTGGATATTTAAACATAGAAAGATGTGGAAAATAATTTTTGAAAACCATTTTACGTTGAAACAAATGGAGTCTAGAAATAAAAATGAAAGATAAAACAAAAAATATTTTCTCAAATCAAACAAAATAATGATCTATATGAATATCCCTATCCTATATGTTTTCCTTTGATAAACTATTTCTTTCAAGTTTAGGAAAAAGATAGACAACACATGGTAAATTTATGGTATTTATTTATAAGAATTAAGTTAAGATAAGCCGAAAATTTGAGTTGAATGATGAATAATGTTAATAAGTTGATATCTCAATTTCTAATCTCATAAGTCATAATCATAATCATAGATTACTATTCCTAATTTATTATTTTAAACTAAGGTAGTAAATTAGGCTATGAAAATGGATTAGGGTTAGGTGTCCATGGAAGAGAGAAATCCAATTTAAAAAGCCTAATTTCAGTTTTGGAATACTTTTAAACAAAAAAAAAACCCAGGATAGGATAGGAGATAAGATAAAAGGAAAAGGAATTATATATTGCAGTTGTAATAAGCCTAAAGGCTCAAGTTAATCCTCAATGTTTAAGGGGTTGTATAAATCAGGACTTGACCTTTGAATTTTAACAATTACGGATCTGATTTATTTTAAAATTTAATAATTAAAGGTTTTTTTGTTTTGGATAAAATCTATTGAGTGTTATGCATGTACCGTTAATTGATTAATTATGACAGATGACTATTAAAATTATCAAATAAGATGCCTATTGGGATGCCAACATGTAATTATATTATTTTTAAATGAAAAATAAATTTATTAGTTTTTCTCATTTTTTCTACCTTTCTTTATTTACCTCTTTACTCAATCTCATTAGTTCTCCTTTTCAATCGTAGCAATTTTAAAAAATCTAGAATCTGGTGCTAGACCACCGCCTCTCGCCTCAAAACGCAAACACGTTCCACGCCCCGATTAGCAACTCCCATTACCGGCACTCAACCACTATCTAAACCCCTACAAAGCTCCCCATGTAGTTTCAAACACTCAAACCATTACTTCTGGTAACCCCACTCAAAATTCACGCCACCATTGATTCCCCCAGCCCAATTACCTTATACCAAAATTCAATCTAAGTAATATCCGGGATTTATACATTCAAATACCCAAAATTTAATTTACCAGACCACAATTTCTAAAATAAAAAATTTTGCAAAAAAACATAAAAAAAAACCTTAAATAATCAAAATTCAAGAAAGCCAACGAAACTGCTTTTTACCAAAAAGATAATGGCAAAATCAGTCCCTATAGCTTAAGACTGATGAAATAGGAAGATTGGTTGCTCTTATCATTGTTGATTTTCCACAATCGAGCTTTTGGATAAATTAATGATGAAATCATTGTTCTAATGAGAAAACAAAAACAAGTAGTGCTTTTTACCTCAGGCACTTTTATGGGGACTAGTCACCAGTAGGAAAATAATAAGACAGGTAAGAGTTCTTTGAAAAAAATTCGCAGCTTTAAATGTAGATCTACGCTATTAGAAAGTGTTTTTGAGAAATCCATTTAAAGATTAATAAGAGAAGATCTAAGTTAAGGAGAAAGGAGAATGAAAAAAAGAAAAAAAAGAAAAAACTTACAATTAAAAATTTCATATCACCCGACAATTTACACATAATCTAAATGCATCAAATTTTATATAAAAAAAAAAACCCTTTAGATAGGGGATTTTAAGGAATGATTTCAATTATAGAAAGATTTTTAAAATTCTAAACTAGAATTACTTTATTTGACGAAATAAAAATTAAAATTGTCAAAACTTTGAGAATTGGAGCACTCGAATTCATTTTTCAAATACCTATGAAATTTCTTAGTTTTATTGTAAGCAGTCAATATTTACTTTTTTTTACGCGCTTTCTTTTCTTCAATTTTAATTAAAAAAACTTAATATAAAATTTATTTATTTAAAATTTTTATATTATTAGTAATTTCTATAAATTTTATAAATATAATGACACCTATATCACATATATATATTTTTTAGCTTTTTATTTTTTGATTATTTATCTACTATAATTATTTTTATTTTATCAAATTTTAATATTTAAAATTTTTTTAAAAAATTATTTATCCAAACGATGCAATCACAATTTGCAAATTCTATTTTTTTAAATTAATGCATTTCAAAATACTAATATTCCAAAATTTTTTAAAATTTCAAAGTTCGAACACATTCTTAATTGTTAAATTTCAAATAGATGAGATCCTTGATTTAAAAAGATCAAATCCTATTTTGAGCAATATTCTTGAAAAAAAATTTACATAATTTTTTAATAAATCCAAATACCACGTCATAAAATCATTTTCTACTATTTTTAGAAAAGTGTTTTTAAATTTTAAATTTTGTAAGTAGATCTCCCTGGTATATATTTATTTATTTCAATTTCTATTCGAAAATTCAAAAGGAGATTTGAGTGACGGCATGCTCACTGGAATCTGAGAGAGAAGAGAAGAGAAGAGATTACTACTGTTTCGTTCGATTTTTTACTTTAAATAAAAGAAAAATAAAAGAAAAAAAAATCTTTATCTTCCGCTTGAGAGAGTAGAGAGTAGAGAGTAGGCAGTAGTTTGGTAGATGATCGTTTCCTCAACATAATAGTAGTAAGCAAGCCCTAGAATTGGAGGAGGAGGCCGTTAATTTGATGGGATTTGGGACCTGAAATCCAGCGCCACCACCAGCATACCAGACGTAGGATTTTGCTTTTGATACAAAAGAGAAACAAAAAAGCAAAAGATATGAAGGGAGGGCGGAGAATAGCAGTGAGCCCAAGGCCTTGCAGCGGACGAAGAATAGTCGCATCCAAGAAAAGAGGGAGAGCGGATGGATTCGTTAACAGTGTCAAGAAGCTTCAGCGAAGAGAAATCTGCTCCAAGCGACACCGTGCTTTCTCCATCACCGACGCCCAGGAGCGCTTCCGCAACATCCGCTTGCAGGTTCTTTCTTTTTACTAACTTAACATAACCTTACTCCCTTGTCTTTTATTTATTTATTTATTTATTATTATTGTGCAAATTTTCTTCTATAAATTAATTGTAATTAAAATTTTTTTTTTCGTTTTTGTTCAAAGTGCCTAAGAATTCTGCTTTATGGTATACGGTTTCAGCTGAGGTATCTACTTCCTCAAGCTTCCAAGTCCAAACCTTAGCTTAACGCTTCATTCTTTTTCCTTTTTTTTTTCCCCAGATTAGAGTACAAAGAAATTTGAACATTTAACCCTAGTTGCAAATTTGTGCAAGGGAACAAAGGAAGCTCTAGCTTTGTATTATTAGTGTTCAAATTAGTTTGATACATCCTTTTCCTTTCCTTTTTTTTTTTTTTTTTAAAGAATACACTACAAAGAAAATTTGAACATTTTAAACCTAGTTGCAAATTTGTGGAAGGGAACAAAGGAAGCTCTAGCTTTGCATCATTAGTGTTCAAATTGTTGATACATATTTACTGTTTAATAGTTTCTAGTCTAACCACCGCTTTGGTTTGTAATACACAACTAGAGTGGACGGAGCGCCTACCATTTCAATGTTACCTTATGACATATTGCTGCAAACCTGATCCAATTTCGTTGTTGTTGAAAATTTGATGATTTTCAGCTTTATGGCTGTTTAAGTCTTTAATAAAATTAATGACAAAAGATAAAAGTTCGAATATTTGTGTCGAAGGATTCCTGATGTTGTTTTTAAAATTTCATGAATGATAAAGTGTCATTGTTGGAATTTCTGCATGGCATATACGTCAAATACATTGGTTGATAACAAAATGAGTTGCTTTATTTTGGATCTGCTGGTATTATGAAAAACATGTTACATTCCTGCTATTTAACAAGTTCCCTTTTGATTGAATAGTTATCTGTGTCTTTATTTCCTCGTTAATTAGGAAGGTAGAAAAGGACGTTTCTTTCCTTTTGTTTGGTAGGAAGTCTATCAAGCAAAAGATTAATTTCAAAGGTCAACGGGTGGTCTGTTACTTGTGTAGCCATCGGGACAGATCTGTCATTGCAATTCTTATTGAGCTTGTTTATTAAATTCCTGTTGGTGATATGTTGCATAAATATATAGGAGGAATATGATACACATGATCCAAAAGGACATTGTTCGATGGTATTACCATTTCTGAGGAAGAGGTCAAAGATTATAGAGATTGTAGCTGCACGAGACATTGTCTTTGCTCTTGCCCAGTCTGGTGTATGTGCAGCATTTAGCCGAGGTTGGAGCCGTGTTTCACTTTTCTAAACTTATTTTGGATAAGCTTGTCTATTTCTGTTTGCATCAAGAATTAGAATTGGAATCTTGATGTTTATTGTTGTGATGCAGAGACTAATCAAAGAATATGCTTTTTAAATGTCACTGCTGATGAAGTTATACGAAGTTTGTTTTATAATAAAAACAATGACTCACTTATCACAGTCTCAGTTTACGCTTCAGACAATTTCAGCTCCTTGAAATGCAGGAGCACGAGGATTGAGTATGTCAATCTTTTTTAACCTCTTTACAACCCTTAACTTATCTCAACTTGAGTCACAAGGAGAAAAAGGGGAAAAATCAAAGAAAAATGTTAAATATTGCATCTGGGCATTATAATTTGTAATGTTCATTTGTTTTCTTTCTGAAACAATTCTGTTTTATGGGCAGATACATACGGAGAGGTCAACCTGATGCTGGTTTTGCTCTTTTTGAATCCGAGTCACTGAAGTGGCCTGGATTTGTAGAGTTTGATGATGTAAATGGGAAGGTACTCACATATTCTGCACAGGATAGGTAAGTACTTATCCATATGAATGTCCTTTTGTGCTAAACTATAATAATTGGATCCATAACTAGTTTCATAAGTTTGATATAATACTGTTTTTGTCTTTCAATCAGTATATACAAGGTGTTTGACCTCAAAAATTATACGATGTTATACTCCATATCTGATAAAAATGTTCACGAGATCAAGATCAGGTAATGCTCGGTTCATGATGGTTATATCTTCTTGCTACAAAAAATAAAGATCAGTCATTGATAGAAAAAGGGGAAACCGTCATGATTTCTTATTCTTCTGTTTGTATCAATATTTGATAATTTAGGCTCCTTTTGATTGTTGCTTTTACTACTTGCTTTCTACTTCCTAAAAAGTAAAATCAAATGATAGATAGCAAAAGTTGATATAAGGTGAGATTAAAACAAACACTGATTGTAGCTTAGCTGCTCTATACAAAAGTAGAACAATGCATTTTATTCTCCAAAAACATTACAGTTTTTTTAATAATTCCTAAGTATTGTTTAGTCCAAACAAGCTTTCTCCTTTCTCCTGAAAGCAAAGATTAAGTATTAAAAGTAATAATCAAATGGGACCGTAACTTGTTAGCTTCTGATGATGTCACTTTATGTAATTGACTTTGTTTCTATCATATCTTTTGACAGTCCAGGGATCATGTTATTGATTTTCACTAAAGTTGGTGGCCATGTTCCTCTTAAGATTCTCTCAATAGAGGATGGAACTGTTCTCAAATCTTTTAGCCATCTTCTTCACCGGAATAAGAAGGTGGATTTTATCGAACAGTTCAATGAAAAGCTTCTTGTGAAGCAGGAAAATGAAAATCTCCAGATTCTTGATGTAAGTATCCTTGTCAATATATTGTAATCTTTTTCATTTGATAGAGCTAAACAAAATTTAAACTGTAATTGTGCAGGTACGCAATTCTGAGCTAACGGAAGTTAGCAAAAATGAATTTATGACTCCGTCAGCATTTATATTTCTGTATGAGAACCAGTTATTCCTTACATTTAGAAATCGGACAGTTGCTGTGTGGAACTTCCGTGGAGAACTTGTAACTTCATTTGAGGATCACCTTTTGTGGCATCCTGACTGCAACACTAATAATATATACATCACAAGTGATCAGGATCTTATTATCTCTTACTGCAAGGCTGATTCTGATGATCCGTTGTCTGAAGGAAATGGTTTGTATTTTCTTTCTTTAAACCTCCTTATTTTCTGGAAACTAAAACACTATTAAACTCAGGTTTAAATGCTTAGCTTGTTTATGAAGCAGGATAATGAGTTGGTTTTTATGTTCTTTTTTTCCCTGTATCTTTCTTTTGTTCTGGTAATCTTTCTCTTATATTCCACCTTACATTTTCTTGTTAATCTCCTTGCTGCTATTCCTCCTTTAGATAATTGTATCTCTTGTCAGGTCTCATTTCTTAGACAAATCATTTGAATCAATACTTTTGTATGGGTCGTAACTAGAATAAATAGCTGAAAAGCAACCACAATTCAATTTAAATAGTATAGGCTATAGCGTTTTTGTCAATTTGAAAATTTGATCTGGATTCAGATTTAGCTTGTCGTGTTGATGAACTGTTTCCTTAAAGGTATAGAAATAACAAGTAGAAACCAGCAGTTGCAAAAGATTATTATCAATACTTTTGTATGGGTTGTAACTAGAATAAATAGCTGAAAAGCAACCACAATTCAATTTAAATAGTATAGGCTATAGCGTTTTTGTCAATTTGAAAATTTGATCTGGATTCAGATTTAGCTTGTTGTGTTGATGAACTGTTTCCTTAAAGGTATAGAAACAACAAGTAGAAACCAGCAGTTGCAAAAGATTATTACCCAGTAAAAATTAAATTTAATAAATCAGTGAAGGGTTTTCTTTTATCATCAATTTTCCGTGACATTGTAAAAGACTCTAATATTGCTTGGGTATCTTACCAAGCTTTATTTTTATTTTTTTGTTCTTTGTTTTAGAAGAATTGATTTAAAATGCCTTGTTGAGTTCTATGTTTTTTGTTTGTTGACTCTTATGGCAAATTATGGGTTGGGTAGGTGAAGAGCCTGGAGTTGTGTTTTTAGGAGTTTTGTTGGGCTTGGCTAGCTTCTTGAATTGGATTGTGGAAAGTTTTCATGATTTCCTTGGTGGTTCTGAAAGGAAATATGCATGTTCAAATTTGCCAATAACTGAAGGGAGGAGAAAAGATTTGATGTGTATTTATTTCACCATTTTGCGTGTGTGCATCTAATGAATTTTTTTGCATCCCTGGTGTGGCAGGGTCCATTAATATCAGCAATATATTGACTGGGAAATGTCTTGCTAAAATAAGAGCTAGCAACAGTTTTCCGGTGGAAAAGCAATGTAGGTGCAGTGTGAAGTGTGGTTGCAGTTGGAAGAAGCAGAGCAATGCGTCCAGAGTTAGAAGCACAGTTGCAGAAGCGCTGGAAGATATCACTGCTCTTTTTTATGATGAAGAGCGCAATGAGATTTATACGGGGAATAGGCATGGACTAGTTCATGTGTGGTCCAACTGATGGTTTGATTATGTAATTTAATTGGAGGATGAGGTGGATGTAAATCGGAATTGTGAGTCTGAAGACACTGTAGCATTATTAAGTGATATTGTATCAATTCATTTCGTTTCTGTTTTTTGATGTTTGTTCTGGTCCTGTATGGGAGTGTTGTTTAATGTATGATTTTATGGTTATAATATTGATGGAGTTATAATTATATTTAGGAAGGGATGGAGTGTGAATGAATGAATGTGAGGAAGCATGAGTTCTGAATCCCCTCAACTTTAAAGTTAAGCAAAGCAAAGGAAGCGTAGAAGACAAGGGCAAGTAGGACGGGGAGAGGAGATGGGCATTTTATGGAATTTGATATATTAGATTAGGACTGAGGATGATAGGAATGACAGTAGTAGTTATTAGAAGGAAAAGATAAAATTAATTGCGAATGCAGTTCGAGAGATGAGAATGGGAATGGAGTTGTAGCGGTAACTTGGAAAAGAGAGAGCGAAAGATTTTGCGAATGGCTTGGAGGCTGGGTGAGGTGCTTTGCGCTTCTCATTTCATGTTCATCCGCTTGATTCCATTTTCAATTTCTACCATCTAGAAGGTAGTATTTCATTCATATAATAATATTATTATATGTAGTTGTTTACATGCATGTAAATTCAAAATTTCGATGATGTTTGCAGTTTCCCTTCCCTTTTCTTTGTTTTGTTTTTAGTTTTGTCTTCATCATTGTTATAATAATAATAATAATAATAATAATAATAATAATAATAATAATGAAAAGTATAGTGAAAAGGAATAGGAGTAGGAGTAATGGAGCTTTTTTAGATTTGATTTTGATTAGATCTGATTTAAACTGGATTTGTAAAAGCGCAAGGAGAGAATAATGAAGTATAGCAGATAGAAAAAGACAACACTAACAACAAACAAAAAAGGAAAAAGGTTGGGAAGCAAATTCAAAAGCACAAGACGGGAATACGTACACCCATTCCCAATTTAGTTTTGCATCCAAATCCTCCCAAATATCCAATATATCCCAACCCCAACCCCAAGCATCTGTTTCTCGTTTTTTTTCCTTCACCCATATTATATTCACCAGACCACAAGAGGTTGATTTTGTTAATTTCTTTCAAATTTGAAGAAAAAGGGTGAAGAATCACTCTCTCCAATCAATTATAAGCAGCTACTCCACATTTTATTTTCTATATATATATATGTATATATTTCTCCATTCACTCTCTGTTTTTCTTTCTTTGGCTCACAATTAGACTACTACAACAAAGTGAAGAAGGTGAAGGAAGCTAGTAATTGAGCTGAGCTGTGTGTCGGTGCCCGCTCCCTCTTATCTTTTCCTTTTTCAACTGCGCATTCTTCTCTTCAGATCCGACTTGAATAATGCAGCTGCAACTGCATTTTTCCGTCTCATTCTGGATTTAACCTAGGCTCCTTTCCAATTCATTCGTTTTTCTTTTGATTTGTTAGGCAATACAAAGAATAACAAAAGGAAAGAAATATGGACGGAGATGGAGATGCGCCTTTAGATTACGCCACCATTCAGATTCTGCCTTCTCAAAACAGGTTCTTTTCTGTTCTTCCTTTCTTCAACCTACATCTGTTTGTCACCACCACTCTATTTTTTCTTTTAACAGCAACATTACTGCAATATATCTAATATACACTGTTGAATCAATTTCCCTATTTTTAGATACGAGGCATTTACATGTCGCGACGACAAAGTAGAAAAACTGGCTGTTGGGTTTCTGCAAAAACTCTTGCCCCATTTACCCGGAGTAAACAACTTGTACGCCAACGGATCCAATACTAACTACAAACTCCAACTGCCCCACAATCTAAACACTGCCCCATGGTTTACTAAATCTACTTTGACCAGGTTCTTCTGTTTTACTGCAAACCCTCTTCTTTGCTTTGCTTTTTGTAATACCAACTGGAAAGCACTAACCAAACGGAGCCTTAAGTATTTCACATTTTCCATTTCTTCATTCTGCTCACTATGTCGTTGTACTTTCCCAGATTCCTAAATATTGTTGGTTCAACGGATTTATTGGATACTGCTAAAGTTATTGAAGGCGAGATGTCTCAGTTGGAGGAAGCCAGAAAATTTCATCTTTCTCTATATGCTCAGGTAAATATCCCCTGTCCTTACCTTAGTGTATGGATATTTAAATATTTAATTATGTAGGAGTCCTCACTAATAAAAGTTTCCTCTTCTCAGGGGCATTCAGATAATATTAAAAGCAGCGAAAAAGGTAAATCTCATGTTCAAGGAAATTTAAACTAGGACACTGTTCATTACCTTGACATATTCTCTATTTCATAGGTTTTTTTTTTTTTTTTTAAATGTTACAATCTACTTAAATACTTTAAACTAATTGAGGGCATAAGTGGTCTCTCATGTCTGTCTTGCCAATCTGCTTAATTTTTTGTTGCACCCATGGTATCTAAAAGCTTCCAGACTCCAGAGTTTTAATTGTTCTCTTTCCTTGTTCAACAGATATATGTGACCAAGTAGACATGGTCCCGACATCCAAAGTAACTTCCATTCTTTATAACTTTTTTTGTCAATTTTTCCTCCTAGTCCTTTAGGAGTTGATCTTATGCATCTACATAATATTCACCATAATTTATTGTAGCCACTAACATATGCATTTGACCTCAGCAGTTCGAAGTCCAGAATTCATCATCAGATACCTCAAAGTATGTTCACTCCATTAATATTAATATATATTTAGTTAGTTAGTGTGTTTTAGTTTTCCTGCAAAGCCAACTAACCTTTGGAAAGCTTATTGCTAGGAATGAGCTCTTACATGCTATGGACTTGAGACTTACAGCATTAAGAAGTGAGTTAGTTGCAGCTTTTAACCGGGTGGTTGGAGAAACCTGCTCCTACAAAGAAATGACTCATCTAGCAAACTTTTGTGAAAATTTTGGAGCAAATGATGTAAAGTAAGTTGCCTTGCAAAAGGAAAGTGTATGGATCTTTTAAATTCTGATTTGCCCAATGAAGTTGTAAATGCAATCTTCTTTTACAAAATTTTTGCAACACTTACTGAAATGAATTATAAGCAAAAAACATCTTGTTAATATCTACTGCAGGAATTTCTTGTGCACGTTACTAGAGCTGAGCCAAAAGTGCCAAGTTGCTAATCCCCCAGATGATGAAAAGTCTTCATCCACTCGTGCTTCAGTGAATGGCAGCATGAACAGGGCTGATGGAAATAATCACATATCAAAGCCAGTAAGTTCAGAAACACCAGTTAAATATGGTGTTTCACCAGCAAAAGTTGCCCAGGTTGAACGGCAGAGCTCAACAGAAAGTGGGGAATCTTCTGACTCAAGTGACAAGAATCAAATGTCTGCAGAAAGAAGTCGAGCTCTTATAAGATCTGCATCGCCTAGACGGTCAGCATCTCCTATGCGAAGGGTTCAGATAGGGAGGAGTGGCTCGCGTAGGGCCCCTGCTCTGACCATAAAGAGCCTTAGTTACTTTCCTGCTAGAGAAAAGATATTGTCTCAAAGAGGTGTAGCTTCAGATGGTAGTGAAGAGGAAGGATCTGGACACAGTAAGAAACCCGAGAATAATGTTCGGCGTATGAGTGTTCAAGATGCGATAAATCTTTTTGAAAGTAAACAAAGGGATCAGATTACTGATGTTCCAAATAAGAACTCATTAACAAACATCTCTCTTGGTCCAAGTAAGTCTGTATTGAGAAGATGGAGTGCAGGTATGGGTGAGTCCTCCTCCCAATGCCAATCACAGAATGCTTCTGAAGATCCTGTTCCAGAGCCGCTTGATAATGTCATCAATAGTGATATCATAAGGAGGTCAGCAGAAGTTAATTTGGAATCAGATACTAGGACTGGACAAGAAAACATCAATGAGACTGTTGATGTGAAGTTAGAAAGGCTGGAAGAGAGCTCATGTAGTCCAATAGATGTTCAAGAGGTCACAGATATAATCCATGAAGTTGAAGAGGAAGCTAATGAAAGGTCAAAAAGCTCAGCTGAATGGAGTCAACAGAAGGAAGTGGAGTTGAACCAAATGTTCAAAAAAATGATGGAAAATCAGCCTGTTAGCTGTAGGAAGCCTCAAACTAAAGTCAGACAAATTCTGCCTCCAGAGCAGAGAGGTGGATTTTATGACCATTACAAGGAGAAGAGGGATCAAAAACTTAGAGGAGAGAATGCTGGAAAGCGTGCGGAAAAAGAAGCAAAATTTAAAGCAATGCAGAAAATTCTTGATGAGAGGAAAGCAGAAATGGCTTCCACAAACGATAATAATCTTTGTAATAAGGATCCTCCTACAAAGACCCAAAAATCTGTTAAAACATCCCAACAGTTACTTAAGAATCCTTCTCAGCCTGCTAATACAAGGAAGGAAACCACAAAACCTTCAACTACAAAGAAAGTTTCATCTAAAACATCCTCCTTGCCTGCTACTCGTAAGTCATGGCCTTCAACACCATCACGGAGAACAACAGGGACATCACCAGCTAAAACTTCTGGTGGAATCTCTTCTGCTGGCACTACACCAACGCGTCGGAAACCTCAGTCAGCACAATCAGTACCTCGACCAAACCCTACAGTGGAAAGCTCCCGGCCACAGCGAAGAAATGTGAAGGCAACCCAGACTGATAAACGAGGTTTAGTGGGTGTCAATGAGAAGCAGCAACAAAAATTGATGAAAAGCAACAAAACAACAAAGACAGAACTTGCAGCAGCACCTGCGGACTCTTCCAGTATGGTTCCGGTGAAGCCTAGTTTGTATAACAAGGTAACAAAGAAAAGTAGTGTAGTTCCAGTGGAATCAAAGCCATTTCTCCGTAAAGGTTCGGGATTTACCTCTAGTGTTGGTCTTGCCAACAAGATAAAAAATCCTTCTCAGTTGGACTCTTTGAAAAACAATGAAAATTCTATTGATCCTCAAAAAAGTGATGTGATTGTCAATGCTTCTGTCTTGGCAAGTGAGTCTCAGGATCAGGATGTTTCATCACTGGATCATTGTGATGGTGCTATTCAGTCAGAAACACAGCTAAATGGCCATCAGAAATGTGATGTGATTGAGAGTGTTGATGAACTTGCTCCTGACTTTGATGATGGATTAAAAAATATTCCCGGGTCTTCTCAATGTGAGGAAGAATCAACCATCTCACCATCTGCTTGGGTGGAAATAGAAGAGCTTCTGGACCTGCCTAGCCAATGTGATGAGAAAACAGGTGAAATTACATCTTCAGCCAGCATTGCACCTGTTGGATTGGCAAGTCCCCGTGTCCGTCACTCTCTGTCACAGATGCTGCAAGAAGAAAGTATTGAAGCTGATACTAGTGAATGGGGAAATGCTGAAAATCCGCCTGCAATGGTCTACCAAAAAGATGCACCAAAGGGATTGAAGAGGCTGTTGAAGTTTGCTCGGAAGAGTAAGGGGGATGCTAATATAACCGGTTGGTCTAGCCCATCAGTATTTTCTGAGGGAGAGGATGATGCAGAAGAATCAAAAGTTATTAATAAGAGAAATGCTGATAACCTACTACGAAAGGCTGCCCTTCACACAAAGAATTATGCGCAACAAAAGACATTGTTGTCTGATGGCTGTGAAAATCATTTGGATTCTCATGAGCTTCCATCTGGTATATTTTCTCTTTGACATAATCATTTCATGCTTATTTTCTGTCAAACTGTTTCATTGTTTCTCATATCGATAGGCTCTAGATGGTTATAGGTCAAAAGCATAGAAGTAACTGCTTTCATTTTTGTGGCTCATTGTTCTATAGCTCATCGGTTTTCGCCTCTTTGTTCAACTTTCTGGGAAATATAAAAATAGTTGTAAATATTATCATTCCCTGACTCTTCATTGAGTCTCATTATGAAAGTACTGTGGATTTTATGTACGCAGCTCAATCAGGCATCAGCATGCTTGATGCCCACAAATTGCACAAGGGCAGTGTCTCAGCTGCAGCCTCCACCACTAAAGGTCAATTTCCATCTCCATTACTCTCTTGCAGTTTCCTCAGTTCTTTTCTTTCTTTTTTTTTTTTTGTCTGGAATAATAATTTATTTTCTTTTCACTTTGCCACAGTATTTTTGTAGTGCGAATTCCCATTTTTTTACCAATGTTTATTTTTCAGGGACAAGGTCATTCTTCTCCCTTTCAGCATTTAGGGGTAGTAAACCAAGTGAGATGAAGCTTCGCTAAAACTTGGATGATTATGAAAATTGAGGTTATTGGCGTTTGCTCTCTCCCAGTCCTAGGCTAAGCTTTGACGGAGGTCAATTTCCTCTGCTTTTCTCTTTTCATTTTTTTTTTTTTTTGGTGTATTGTTTTTGCATGTCAGCAGTCAAGGATCATTCTCTATGAATGTGTTTTGTGTTGGGAGGGGTGTTCATGTAGATACAGTACGTTGCCGTATTAGGATTTCCATCCTGCTAATGTTCCATGGTAACCATTATGCCGAGGACATAAAACAATGATGATTTTGTTTTGTCAGCATTAAAAAATTTCAAGCCTTGTACTGTGGAATCCCATAGACACCTCAGAGCTAGGTTCTTATTTCACTACATGCCTCCATGGGACACTAACCACATCCCGCTTGCTGGCTGCAAATGGTGACTGGCAGCTATATAGCTTTGGATTCCATTTGTTGACTCTTCCAGTTTGCTTTGCTATAAAAGAATCTGCAGTTTGGTGTGCTAAGTTTCGTACTTGGATTGTCTTTCACTCTTCCAGTCTGGGTCATTCACTTATATTTTCAGCATTAGATTCAATGAATGTTGTCCCCTTCATCTGCCACTGAATTCTTCCGTCGAATAGAATCCATCCAACCAAATCTGCAGTTGTAACGACTAGGGAGATAAACGTTAGGACCATTAATGCATACTATTTTGAATTTTCAAAATTAGGATTGAGTGTGAATAGGATTTGATTCAAATTAAATTTTATTGGTTTAGTTAGGTTCATTGGTAAAATTAATTTTTTTAAGATTTTATGTTATTTTTAATATGTTTAAATAGATTTAAATATAAAATAATTTTTTGTTTTATAAAAATTTAAAACTTACATAAAATTAATAAAAATATAATTTGATTTGATTCAAAATTTTTTGAATTTTTTTTTATTTTATGATTTGAAAATTGATTGATTGAAATATTCAATATTCAAAATCTAATCTAAATGGTATTAAATAAAAAAAAAATTCGATGCTAACTGTATATTATGATGTTAAATCAATTTTTCATTTTTTATTTTTTTCCTCAGCCCTAGTAACAACATGACGAAGTCTTAACTCACCAGTAAATCTAAATAAATGGTGTAACAATATTATTGGCTGGCCTTTCCTGGACGTGGTAAGAAGTAACTACATTACAATTTCTCTTGCGTTCTATTATGAATTTAAGAACGACAGAGTTGCGTTAATTGGGCAAATTCTTTAGTGTTTTTTTCTTTTTAATGACAGTAGGCCATGATGTGAAGAAATATGTGTAGGGTTTTTCTGTTCTTGTTTTTATCAACAGTGTGGATGATAGTGTAACAAATTAGGTTTTTACAAACTATAAACGAATATAAAACCGCCCCTTGCCTTAGACAAACGGTTTCATCAATTGGCCGGGCCACACGGTATGCTCAAAAGAGGAAGAGCTGTGTTTGTGGCAAGAAGCAGCTTTTGCGACAAAGGGTCAATGAATGCCGTTCCACTAGAGATCTCACCCAGAACCAGGCTTTCTGTTGCTATTCCGAGGTCAAAAGAAGGCAATCAAGCATTACGATGAGCAACATCGCAGGCGCAGATGCAGACTAATAGTAATATGGATCCTCGAGGCCAGGATAAATATCAAAGAAAAATTAGATGCTAGCAATAAACTTTACAACTGTGTCGCTAAAATAGATCTAGGGACATGTGATGTGGGCCATTAACGTACGAAAGCACAACTCCTGAGTCTCTGGTTGTTTCCAACATGCTAACATCCAACATTGCAAAGAAGTTTCCTGCTTAACTATTGGAGCTGCAGCTTATCTCTGTCTGCAGATACAGCGGCCTGGAAACCAAGAATGACCAACAATCAACCACCTTCCTTTTCCTCTTTTACCTTCCCTTTCTTTGCTCGATAACATTTTAACCATCTTTCACCTTTTGAGCTAAGCCTAAAAGCAGAAAGGCTGTCTCTTTGTCCCTATTGAGGTGTTCAATTAAATTGTGATCATGAGAACTATCCCAAAGAACTCTAAAATATGCTTTTTCTCAGGGATATGAAGTGAGCTTGTATCTGTAGCCAAAGACATGAAAATTTGCACAAAGTTCAATTCAACAAGTATTAATAACAAAGAAGCAGTTCAAGATAATAGCAGTTAAAGCCAAGAAACAACTTCACCACCCCTTGCAGCCAAATGAACAAAATTTAGCTTTGTGTTGCAATTTGCAGCTGGATGGATGACTACTATTACTCAATGACAAACAAGTGCAGTTCCAATACTACTTTTGGGCTAGAAATCTCAACAGAGAAGTTAATCATGATAAAACTATTTATCATGCTTTTAACACATTTGAGAGATCCTGACTACTAGAATTGCTAAACCATCATAAAAGATAGATGCCAAAAAGAGATGAATTCCAGAGTGACAACAACACCTTTCACCCCTGCATCAGTATATAAGCTGATCAAAATGACTGCTGCCCTGAAAATTGAGAGGATCCAAATGGCTGCTGTCCTACTCCAGCCATTTGAGAAGGTCCAGAATATTTCAGTTATGCCTTCTGAGGGAAGCCTGATGGTGGTTGTCCTGCCCTCTGAGAAGAACCTGATGACCACCATCCAGCCATCTCAGCAGGTCCCAAGGGTGACCATGGTGGCTGTCCAAAAGGTCAAGGTTGAGGCCCAGGGAATCTCCACCTATTTTCATTTAAAACTCTATCAATCTCTTCATTCCACTCAACTTTCCCAAAAGCCACACACACAAACCCCTCCAATGCAGGAGTAACGCCAATGGAATACTTCATCATCTGGTCCGGTATAGCTAGGCTTTTGTCCAGCTCATCAACATTGCAAAGCCTTCTGACTACAATATCATAAATGGAGGCATCTGGTTTAGGATCTTTCTCCCCCATATTTGTCAAAGGTGCTGCGGATTCCATGTTCTTACCACTCTTAAGAAATTCACTGAAAACCCTAGTTCCAAAACTGGCAACCATCCTCAAACCAGTCTCGACCATCTTTGTACATGACCATAGAGCATCTGCTTTCAATCAAATATGTTTATAATCTTGATAGAAAGGATCACTTGCATGAATGCAGATCAAAACAAGAAATCAAATAAGTCGTCGTACAATCTAAAATCAGATTCAAAACTTCCCTCACAATAGTCTTAAAACAAAGTGTTAAATAGATATCCTGGCAGCTTTGATAAAATAGATGAAAGAAGTACAACCTTGTAACAGGCGCTGAACATAAAGAAAATTGAAGCAACAGCATTTTATTACTAGAGACTTGATGATTCCATTGTCTGGATGGCTGGTGCAGTGACCACAGCCAGATTAAGATCAGGGGGTTTACAGTCCCCCGCCCTCCCACAAATCTCCCTGTACTCTTGACAAATGGCACATAGATGGCAGAAAAAGTGAGTAGCAAAGTCCCCACAAGGTGCGTCCTGCATCAAACATAAACAGTGATTAGCAAAAGATAAGCATGCAAAAGGAGTAGTGGATGGATAAAATATTATTAAGCTGCTTAACATAGAAAAAGAAAGCTGGTGTAATCCAATGTATATAATTCATTCTCATATATTAATCTACAACTGCTGGACACAAAAAAGTAGTTACTATTGTCCAAAGAAAATGATTATTTGACTTCTCATCCAAAACCTTGTTACTAATAGTTCAACAATTTGTTGATATCTGTAAAAATATGTAAGATTGTTTAAAGGTCAAACACTTGCATGAGTTAATCATAGGATTCATTATTTTTGGGGGTAAGGGCAGGATTCTATTCTCAGGTAGGATCTCACAAAAGGCAAATGAGGTGAACACAAAATTCACTTGACTTTATATGCCAAAATATTACCATTTCTCATCTTGAAACTTTATGGTTAGTAGTACTTCTAAATTCCGTCATTTACCATTTTGCATCAGTCAGTGCTAATAAAAGAAAGAAGCAACAATCACGTTAAATCTGATGAAAAAAGAACCCCCCTTTCCCCTAAAAGCCTTAATATAAATCAATCTCAACGTATCCTTAAGTAGGAAGAATGGCGGTATAAGAGGACCGAAAAAATGATAAAAGTCCCAAAAAAAAGGTTCTCTATAAGCTACAGTCTCAACAATCCCTAGTAATTGAACCATCCAGCCCGTCCCATACAGCTTGTGACACAAGAATTATGTAGAGAGGTTTCCACATAAGTAGACTTCATGCAAAATATACATATACTTTGTGCAAGTACTGACGGAAGCCTCTTATTTTTTCCCCTGGTGATGAACTGTCGGAGATGGACTTCCTGTCCTATTGTGTACATCGATGATAGTTCAAAGAATGGTGGCCTAATGAAGTCATATTAGCCCTTGAGGCCACTTCATGGAAGGTTACTTCCAGTAAGTCCACCTCATGGGAGGTTACTTTCTTATTAGGACTGTAATGATTTCTGAAGTAATCCTATCAATTCAATAGGTGGAGTTCATTTTTATTGGAAATAATTCAGGAAAGAGGTATTCTTTCCATTCCATGGCCTTAGAAACCAAAAGGCCTTTCTTTTGGGTCTAGATTGTTACATATTCCTTTCCATAGAAATTAGAAATTGAAATTTCAAGACTAAAAGTGATTTTAAATTGTCTCGACCAATTGAACGATAGTACCAAAAAAACCCAATGAAAGGGTGATGGCAGTACAGTTTTTAAGCAAAAAGGTTTGTAAACCAGAACCAATGGCGTGTTAATAAGAAATTGATAATGGAACAGGGTCAATGTGTCTCAAGGAGAGCTCTCCTCTTAAAGACATGGTCAATGGTCAGATACTAAAACATCGGAGCAGTTAATGCAGAGTGCAAAGAAGCTAATTAAGGGATTAACTTAAGATTACTCGGAACTGGGCCAAGGATAACTGCGATTGAATCTAAAAAACTATTTTTTGCTGCTGCAAAGGATTTCAGCGCCAGCTACCTGAGTTCCAGTCACTCTTCTCATACAATCCCAATTAGAAAAAGACAAAAAAGACCTCCAGGCTCCAAACATACCACTAACTCAAAACTATAAACGTCTCCTAATTTTAATACAGCAGAGACTCCATGAAGACAAATCATCTATACCTTACGTCCCATGGTTAAGGCCTGGAAGTCTCCTACTAAAGCTCAATGGATATAAGACTCCTTGGTGAAGAATCAGTCCTCTATGAGAAGAATATCCTCCCATAAATAAACTAATCATAAATAAAAATCTTGATTTGCTCATGAAAGTGAGACCTAAGAGGGACCAATTTAGCAATAACTTCTTAGATGGTCAAGATCAAAGAATAATGTAATACTAGTTTTAGGAAATATCCTATATTAAAATCATTTAGCTGAAATTGATGGCTTCTGACTCATAAGTACATATAGCAACTCCATAAGTGCGTGCCAGCAGTCATAACTTTATTAGCAAGTGAAAGGAACACTACAACAGTAATACCGTATCACATACAACACTATTCATGAACTATCTGGGACAACGAGCATGAAGATTTTCGAGATATTATAGAAGTGAACGAATTCACATATATTGGCCTTTGCTTTTGTTCAATGACTCAAATTAGCAAATCCAAGTTCCAAAATTAATAGTTAATAGGGTTATTGGTGATGCAGAATTTATTTATTTCCAGTGCTAGACAAAATTGAACATTAGGAATTTCAGAGTCTGAGGATGGGTCAGATTGATGGTAAGGGATTGGCATTGATGCTGGTTTCTTGTTAGAAATTATTATATATATTAAAAGCTGGAATTTCTTATCAGAAGCTAAAGAAGCTTTTAAGGGACTCTAGAGTTGCTAATACAAGGAAAAGCAGGGGTTTGATGGTAAGGCTTTCTAAGCATCCCTAAACTTGGGCAAGGCCTGCTTGTATCCTAATAAAGGCTTGGGGCAGAGAGGAGAATAAAGAGAAAAGAATAAAATGTTCAGCCCAGGTAGTTGCACCAGGGAGATGAAGGCAGTGATTACCCGCAATAAAATTTTATGCATATGTAATATCCATAAATTAATCTTGCTTAAAATTAGAAATCACACAGTTCTACAGATTAGCTTCTGGCACTTTCTTTCATTCCAGTAAAATTGGGACACAACTAAAGAAATTAATGATGTTTAAAAGTGATCCATAAAGGTCAATAACTCTAGTGCCACAATTATAGCTCATCTCTAAAAAGTAACAAAAGTATAAATCAACCATTTTAAGAAAAAAGTTGACAGAATGGCATCATAGTCTAAAATAAGGATAAACAAAGAGCTTGCAATAACTCGTTCAAGTCAGAAATAGGGCAATGGGAAGGGAAAGCATATAAAGGAAAACTCAAATTGGATGAAAGCAGACAATACCTGCAAGTTGTATCCGGATCGAAGCGCCCTCCTGTACCCACAAGCATAACTAGAGACAAAGCATCCAGGTAAGGCCAATAAAAGGCCTTGAGTTAACACGCAGCAGACAGTGTTTATAAAAGCCCAAAGAATGAAATGGGTGACGCAGGATCCGACTAAAGTACCAGAACCCAAAAATTCAGCATTCTTTCCGAACAAAAAGCAGGGGAAAAAAAGACCTATACAACCTGGCCATTCACGAAAACACAGTCTCAGTTTGAGCTTATGAGAAAACATTATTTGCACAATTACCTAGACTGGACTAGACTAGTGTAATTCATTAACTGTGATAATCTAGTCCAAGCTTACTGGTTAGCAATTTCCAAATTACTTCTATAAAACTCAAAGAGGCACCTGAAAAACGAAAAGTCAAAATAGCATACAGCTCTGCATGTCATCGCAACAAGCACAGATTCCAGAAGACCACTGAACAAACTGAGTCTGGGATTGCGAGTGCGGCTGCGATGGCGACGGCCTTGGTTCACAATCTCCATCCATCTCCCCCTCCTCAGCAGGACGAGGAAGCGCTTCGTCCGACTGTCCCAAGGGTATATAAGGCGGTGGGACATAGCCGCTTCGACTTTTCATCTTGATTGTGATCGGAAACTATATTTTCTCTTGTGACTGGCGATGAAAGGATCGAATTTGGAGCCTCTGATACTGATGGCGATAATAGGACACTCAAACCATCACTGTTTTTTTAGACATTGCCAAAGTGTACATTTGAATGGTGCAATATTGAAAACAAATTAGTTATTACAAATGAGATTAAAATACGTGTTATATATTGAAAATAAAATGATGATTAAAGATTTTAAATTTTATAATAAAAAATTTAAATTATTTAATATTTATAAAATTAATATATAATTGAAATTTTATTAAATTATGTTTATATTAAATAATTAATAATTTTATTTTATCAAAAAATAATGTGATTCATTTCTATTACTAAAAGAGGTAATGATGTTAAAAAATAAGAGTTAATGTAATTTTGTAAATTCACTAAATTATACAAAAAATAAGACTTAAAATAATTTTATAATTTCATTAAATTATGCTTGATTTTTAACGCAATTATTCTTTTTTGATAAAGAAAGTGAATTATAAATAAAAAAATATTTCATAAAAATGTAAATAAGAAAATTACAAACCACAAAAAAAATACATGAAATTTCACTACTTTCATTTACATTTTTCATTCGAGTTACTTGTATAAATAAAATGATAATCAAATTGTATGCAAGAAACTCGATTAATTTTGAAGGCAACCAAATTCAAACACAAAAATCCAAATATGAATCCATGGAGTTGGAACCAAACTAAAACTTGACATTTTGTCGACTGCACTTGGTTGCTTAAAGAAAAAGAAAACACCTCCTAAAATGAATCAAAAAACCACTATTCCCTCATTTCCTTTTTGTGAGCAATAATCGTCTTACTGATTAATAACCATATTGCATCTACGTATTCCCTCGTGATTGATTGAAATTTAACAAAAAAAAAACTAGTTTTGCAATCGCTCAACTCATTGGAATTACTGTACAACTATTAAATGATGAATTTTACAAAATTGCCTTAGAGCTCAATCATCATTTATTGAACTGCTAATCTATGGAGATGATCCAAGAACACCTTAAAGCTGACATCGTCAGTAACGATTATGTCTCCACTCGCATGATGACCATCGGAGTTATATGTCGCAGAAGGATTCAACTTTCCCAGAAGAAAACAGGCCTGTGGATCAAAAGAGATTTAACAACTAAGTAGAGGAAAAAGCTAAGATGACAGCAGGATTTTGTTCACTCTCTTTTTCCCCATCTTTTTCTGTACTGTGATTCAGAATATGTAGAAGTTGAAGATCATATATGATTGATTTTCAAGGTTATCTAAGCTTCAGTTTTGCAAGTGCATTTGCAAACCGACTCCACCCACCCGTCATCTTCCATTTCTTTAGTATTTAAATTGACAATTCAAATCATAAAGACTAGTCACACGATTTCAAATACCATTTGCGACGGCGCAGGCCTGAGCCTAATCACTTAAAAAAATGATTACAGCTCACAAGCAGAGGCAACCAATGTTGAGCAATAAAGGGTGTTATCCTTTAAGGAGGAAAGTGGAAAAACTAAAATCGTGATAATCCTAATCAGAGTCCTAACTTCATCTGCAGTTAAATACTTCATATACAAACAAAGAACAAGAGCTACTGACCTGTGAATCATGTTGGTAAAAAATGGCTAGTCGAGGAATTGGAAACCTTTCCTTGATTATTGCATCTACATCATCACGAGGAGCTAGCAGCAAATGGGCAAAAGCATACACAGAACAAATGATGATAAGAACAAATATGTATGACCATGATTATGCCAGCACTATTTGCTGATTCCAAAAGCTCTGTTCTTATTTTTCAATCTTCCAATTATACCAAAAAAAAAATTGAAAAACAAAAAACTATATTTGTTAGGACTTTCCCATATTTCTTTTTGTTCCAAAAGAAATTTTTTAGGATTTTCCTTCATGACTTGTATGAGAACATTAAATATTTAAATTACCCTTTCCCTAAGCAAATCTGCAGGCAAAATGATGCAGGATTATTATTGATTTTGTTACTTTGTTATATTTTAAATTTAAGGGATTAATTGGAATTTTAATCCATAGGTTTAGAAAATTTTAGGCCGATTAAGCTATTTGATATTAGTTAGTTTTTCACTTGCTTTTAGAGTATTATTGCATCATGATTATATTTTATATCTTTCATTTATCTTCTTCTCTCTTAAATCTATTTTTTATCCAGTCTTTGTTTTTTGGGCCGAAGATAATCCTGTCTAACAATAGACAAAACACAGGCCAATCTCTCCAATGCAAAAAAAATAAGAAAAAGAAGAAAAAATTAGGAAAAAGAAGAAAAAATCTTGAAATTCAATAACAAGGTCTCTAAAACTAAGAGCTAAAAATTAAAAACTCAAAATTTTAATTTCAATTCTAATTTTGATTTTAACTTTAATTTTGATTTTAATTTTTAATTTGGATTTGGATTTTTTTTATTTTTCTCATTTAATCTTGTTTTGGTCAAAATTTATTAAAAGCCAAAGTAAAAAAATAAAAAATAAAAACTGAAAGAAAAACGTGCGATTTGAATGCTGAAGCCTTGGATTTGATTCTACTCTTGGGTTTTATCTCAGAATTTAAATTTAATTCAAACAAAAAAAAAGAAAATTTTAAGGAAAACTGAATCTTGGAGATTTCTCCTAGATTTAATAGGATTTCAAAGTTTCCAAGTTTCAAGGGATTCAATCCCTGTATAAAGACCATTAATCTGTGAGCCAGAAGACAAGAAGTAATATAGGAGAAACTATAGCAATTGGCAATTCACAGCAATCAAAGCTTTTGAAAAAGTATCATAGGTTCTGGGTTTTCGGTTTAATTTTTCTGGTGTTTGGAAATTGGGAATTTGTTTTGAATTTAGATTCTTGAGTTTGATTCTAGGTTTTATGACTGATCAATTTTCTATCGATTTCTAGAAATTATTTTGGGTTTGGATTTTTTATTATGAGAGCTTTTGGGTTTTATTTTTGGGTTTTGAATTGATATTAGATTTTGGTTTTTCTTGGGGTATTATGGGTTTGTTTAAGTTTCTAGAGTTGTTATAGAATTGAGGTTGAATTTTTTGTTTCTCTGAGAATTTTTTTGGGTTTTTTGAGAATTGTTTAGTTTTTTGTAGAAATTATTTGAATTTTCTGATGAGGGCTTCAATTTTTCATCGAGACCCACGACGGCTGGAGGACTTTGTGAGGGTTGGGTTTTGGGATTTTCTAGGTTTATGAATTTTGATTGAACTCTGTAGCACCTTTTGAACAGATGATGAATTCTGCAAATCTTGATCGGATGGTGGATTTTTTCTGTTGGTTCTTTTAGAGAGAAAGGAAAGAAACAAAAGCTAGAAAGAGAATCAGCAAAAAAGGATTTGAGAAAAAAATTTTGGCTTGTAAATGACGTCATTTTTGTCTTTTAGGATCCACGACTCACGTGAAAGTTGCGCATTGTTTCGTTTTCATCCGACCCAATCATAAATTTTTATTTTTTATTTTATTTTTATTTTTATTTTCTTATTGTTTTGATTAGTTCTAATTTTTTTACTGTTTGTTTTTTTTTCTTTATGTATTTTATTATTTATTATTTGTTGTGATTGATTTAATTGAGATGAGGAAAAAGAAAAGAAAAAAAAAACTTTGATATTAATTTTTTATATACTTGCATGATTATTAATATGCTTACGTTATTATTAATATACTTGCTTGATTTATTATTTATTACATGATATTTTTATTCTATGATAATTTTAGATAATATTATTGCATGATATTTTTATAAAATTTTTATATGACAATGTTACATAAATAAATAAAAGGATGTGCATGATTTATTTTCATTATGAAAACCAACTTTGATCAAAACTGTTATAAGATAACATATAATTAATTTGATACTAATTTTGAGCATAATAGGGTGCTAAAATTTGTTTTGAATACAACTGGCTCTCGAACTTAGTTATATTGATGTAGACTATAACTTATTCTTTTTAAAGACTATTAGTTTACATTTAGGATAATTTTAAAAAAAGATAAATTTACATACGTGGCCAATCACACACACAGACACAGACACACACACACACACACACACACATATATATATATATAAAGAGATTGGTAGTGACTTCATAGTTTGTGTCTAATAAACAAGTTCTCAGATCTAAACGTTGGAAAAAAAAAAAAGATAACCAACAAGATATACAAGTAAGTTATTTTTTTAATATATTTTTATAATTAGCCAATCAATTTTTTTATATATTTTTATATATAGTGTTTATTATTTGTTATATTGATGAAATAATTTGATCATGTATTCATGTTATTAATAGCATTTATATATTTGTTATCATGTTTGAATTTTTGCATTTTATATTTTTTTTATTTGTTTAGTTATTACTCATTCAGCTAAAAACTTTAAGTTTGGCAAATATTTACTTTCATATGAAGATTATAAAATTAGTTAGAATCCAATTTCTTATATAGCAATATGGTTAGAGTATGTGAATTGCATTTCTACTCATATATTTCAAACATAGGGTCAATTAATCTTTATTAACATGCATAATTGTATTTTGAATATGTGTTTTTATTTTTTTATAAATTACTTAACCTAACTATTCAATTTAATTAGTTATGGAGAAATATTTTTTAAAAAAAAAATTCAATTTTTGAAGAATCATCTGGAATCAATGCTTGTGGCATACAACATTATACAAAGCAAGTTTGTGTTGAATTAAACTTAGATGATCTTCTTTCGAATCTTAGGTTAGAAAAAAAAATTTAGACTATAATGCTAATGATAGAAACAAGGTTCAAAAAGCTTATTTGCCAAAAGGTCTATATCAATCTTATGAACATAAGTTTCCCTAAAGAAAAATTAGAAAGGCATTATGTCATTTTATTGCTACATGGTTCAAAGATTATGCTAATTCGTTAGAATATAGTATAGAGAAAAATGCCACTATTTGTTTGTGTCGTTATCATTATATAACAGATATTGAAAAGCAAGTAGATGGTGATTGTTTTGTTTCAAATGGATTCACAAATTGAAAAAAGAAAGAAAGATTTGATATTCATGTTGGAGCTCCTAATAGTGCTTAAAACAAAGCTTGGAAGTGTTGTCAAGATTTGCTAAATTAAAAGCAACAAATTCA